CAGGGAATTAATATTATGATTAAGGTTTGTGGGTTAATCAAATAACTCTTAAATATCCCCACAAGGTACCAAAATCATATAACTCCTAAATATCCCCACAAAGTACCAAAATCAATCCAGAAATAATGAAGAATAAAATATCATGAGTAAAATCGCTTTCTATCATACACATCTTCTTGAGAGCAACCTTGCCCTTAAGGTTGAACCGGATGCTCCTGCTTCCCCTTTCCTTCTTCTGTCTTTTGCTCTTCGGCCTCATACTCGGGGGAAGATGCGGCCCAAGTGGAGCGGCCATCGGTAGTGCAGCTGTAGCTCCAACGGCGGGTGCGACCCGCTGACCACTTTGGTCACTGTGGAAGTCGCGCCCACTTTAATGTTGGCGGTTATCCCACCATTCGATCTCCCCGTAGCCTTCTATAAGCACCTTAATGCTCCCTTCCAGCTTGCCAATCGCAAGGAGTCAGGCTCACATACCTTAATTGCAGTTTCAATCTCCGGGCATAGGTCTGTCGTGCATAATCTCACCAGAGTTTCCTTTGGCATTGCCCATTGCACATGTTCTACAACTTAAGGAACTCAGGCTGATACTCTGCTACTGTCTTGGAGTGCCTCGGCTTGGCCTGCTGCTTTGGTGCCCACCCTTCTGACAACTAAACCGGAGCGATGATACATAAAATCGCTCTCGCAATAAACTGCCCCCGAGCGATGGATGAACATAAACTTTCTCTCACGATAAACCGCGCCCAAGCGATGACTTACATAAACTCACTCTCGCGATAAACCGCCCCCGAGCAATCACGTAAACTCTCGCTCACGATAAACCGCCCCCAATCGAGGGCTAAAACAAACATGCTCGCGATAAAGCCGCCCCCAAGCAATGACTTGCACACAACGCAAGTGCAGGTAACTTCACAAGTCAACATGCGCAATCTCTACAAGCTCAAATCCATAAATCAAAAGAGTTTCCTAAGTAAGAAAGTCACAGCGTAAAAGCAAAATATTGCTACACAAAGGTAGCATTAGTCTTTCAGCACCCTAAAAACAAGGGAACCGTACGAAGGGAATATAACAGCAAAGAATTGTTCAAGACTGAATAGAAAGCAACATTAGGCATGTTTACCTTGGCTCGACATCCCCTTATTCACCTTTTATCTAATAGGTTCAACGCGAACCGCCCCCATCTATGAGTTCACGTCATTATTGCCACAAAATTCTACTACGTCCCAGATAGCATTAGTATCCCAAACCACTTCAGGGTGCTCTTTGTGATACGAGTGACGAATGGGCGCCACGGTTCACCCAGCAGCCTTGAACTTATTAGACTTGAAAAAAGAACCTTGGTGGCCTCCACTTATTTCAATAACTTAGCCTCGTGAATGTCCATCATCGGAGACATCTCGCCCTTCAACTTGGCAACCTCATCGACCAACTCTTTCTCCCGCTTCGCCCCTCCGCGGTCTCCTCCGACAACCTCTCAAGGTCCTTCTCAAACTTACTCAGTTTATCTAGGGTGGCATCAAGTTCGACATCTTTTTTAACAACGACAACCTCATTCTCCTTGACTAACTCTATCGCAGACCTAGTCCATACAACTCTTGCACGACGTCCCTTACTGCATCAACGTCAATTTGAACTGGCTCCCTAGGAGGCCTTGGCTGCATAGCTTCCTTCATGGTTAGTTGCAGAATTCCCTTACTGGCGATTAATAGAAGAGTCCCCGAAATTCCTCTTTGAGCGTCTCGCGACCCTCCTTCAGCGGATCATTAAGGTTAACAATCGAATTGTCGCAGTAGTCCAAATCACTTTGAAGGCGGTCATTATGGCAGCATGGAGTAGTTTTTTCTTTCACTTAAGTGTTTGTAAACCTTAGCTATAATTATGTGAATACTTGTATGGATTGAATGATTGGTGTGTGGTTGTTTTTTAACACAAGTTTTGAGGTATTTTCATGAAGGTTGTGTTGTGTTTTTGAATTTTCAACTCTTATGCCAATTTGACCTAGGTAGAGGGAAATCCTCTTCTTTCTAAGAGGCTTGTAAAAGCTGGAATTCCTTGGGCAAATTGTGTCACCTACTTAGGTTGAATTAGGGCAAACCTCATAATACGTATCAACACCTTGTGTAAGTTGTATTTTGGCCGTCCGAACTACGGTTTGATGGAGAAGCCCAAGCAACCCTTAGTCGATTGGGCAAGAGAGCTACATTGGTAGCTTGATTCGAAATCCCTTGGCCTAGTGATCGAGAGAGTGAAGTTTGTTCACTTATTGTGCTTCCCTACGGTTTACAATCTCTTTTGCCACACATTTGCATTCGATCCGACAAATCATGATTACTAGCTAGGGGGAGCAACACCTGGGTGAAGCCTTCTCAATTAGTGTTCAAAACCATCTACTTTTCCAATTGGTTTCAATTTTAGTTCATAGTTTCAACTAAAACTCGATTGCTAGATAATGTTTCAAACGATTGAAGTAGGGGTACATGGACCGACCCGAGTTTGACTTTTAAAACATATTTTCCCTATATTGCACCCGGTTAAGGTTTATACTTGGGCCTTAATCGTGATTTTTATTGTGATATTCGGGACGAGTCACATACATTGATGGTAACTTAACTACTCACTCTCTCACAAAAACTTAATATACATTCTCATTTCTCTCTATAACTCATGCATCAGAAAGTGTCTTGGGCAACCGCACCCGAACTTTGTTGTAGGATCCAGGAGTGCTCTTTCCTCCATCATGAACATATGGCTTGCTCATGCCTCATCAACCGCCTAAAACATTCTGAACTCAAACAAGTATCGGGGTGGAGATTGCCGAGTTATTCAGCGAAATCCAGATTGAGGTTTCGCGTGTTGGTGTATTTAGCTTTCAAGTTGCGGGGGCGAGAGGTGAATAGAACAAGCATCTAATGGGCCATTACATCATGTAATTGGGAGGAGAAGGAGATCTGGACTAGCTAGGGGTGGGCATCCGGTTGGTAAAACCTAATCGGACCGAACCAAACCGAATCGAAACCGAAATAATGATATTATATTCGGAAGAGAAATTGACCTAATTCGAAAACGAGGGTCCTCTCGACCGAACCGAGTTTCCGAACCAAGAATCGATTAACCGAAATATTGTATCTAGCCCAATAAACTCTCTAGCCCAAACCCCCAGCAGCCCAACTATGGTATTTCAAAGCCTAGACCCCCACCAGGACACAACCCTAAGCCCAATCACCTACAAACTCCCACCCCTATCACTTATCCCACACATACAGTCAACGCCTGGCCGCCCCTCCCGCAACCACCAATCCTCCACCTCCGTTCCAAAAGAAGATCTCATCTCCTGCTCACCCACCGTCCACTGGAGCCGATTCCATTTCTCATGTTTTTGCTCTCTTCTACTCCCTGAGGTTGAGATCAGAAACCCAAATCCAAACATTAAAATCCTACCAAAAATCAAACGAGGCTGGAAGAACCCACATGCATGTGGAAAAGAGCTTACCCGTCTCCACACGCCGAGAGATCTCGTCGTTCCACCTGCTGCCGCCACGCGTCAGCGTCAACCCACCAAGGGAAAACGAGAAGAAGAGGGGTGGAAGGAGTGGAGAGTGACCTCGGTGGCGGAAGGAGCTTGATCGCGAATGGAAGAGGAAGCACTCTCCAGGGGAGCCGTCGACGACCGATGGAGCCAGACCTTTCATGTTGCTGCGCCTGGCGGGAAAGGGGAGAAGGAAAAGAGGAAGTGGGAGAGGTCAGGAGCGTAGATTAGGTTTTTTTCCAGTAGAATAGATTGGATTTATGGATGACAGTGTGAAGAACATCGGAATTCGAGTTCTCCATTACGAACCGAGTTATATTCGGTTCGGCCAGACCGAATCGGAATATAGTTCGGTTCGAAATTGGTTTGACCTTTGACAAATATGGGGGTACGGGTAATTATCTTTTCGGTTCGGTTTAAACCAAAGTGACGGAATGGCCACCCCTAGGACTAGCAACCCTCCAATTTTTATGGTTCCTTAACAAACTGATTGTACCTTAGTCCACTTAAGTCAATAATGAAGTGATCCAGGTTTATATTAAAACAAGAAAAAAGAGAATGTCCAAGAACGGCTACAATACAAGCACCACAACGAATCCAGCCTGCTTCTGCTGTGTTCTTCTCCCTTATGTTTCCTTTTTGCTTTTCTTTTCCGCTTTAGCTTTTTCGTTTCTTCATCGCGAAGACGAGAAAAGAAGAAGTGTGAGGAGAGAAGACGCCCCCTAATATCAAGTCTACTGTAACTCTAAGATCGAGAGATACGAAGCGAAGCGGAAGCTGCATAGTAGCAAACAGAAATTATCAAAAGAAGACAGCGACTCCTTCACCCATCTTCATCAGCATCAGGTACACAACCAAAAAATACAACACCCCTCCCCTCCTTTTCCCTTCCACTCTACCTCTGCCGCTTTCTCCGTTTCTTTTTGGTTTTGTTTTCAGTGAACTGTGAAATCTGCATCTGCTACCCATAAATCACAAATCACCATCAGCTCATCCATTTCACATTCCCTCCTCCTCTGCTTTCCCCACCCTGTATTGGTTTTGGTTCTTTTCTCAATCTCTCTCTCTCTCTCTCTCTGCTTTTCACGCAATCCAATTCTCTGCCCTGCAACCCCAATATTCCCAGTTTCCCCAACACCTAGCTCTTATAATCTGTTACTCCCACTTGTCTTTTTTACCAGACTGCTTCCTTCCATATCTCTCTTTCACTTCCTTTCCTTTCCCTCCTTGTTCGCTTCTTTCCGAATTGGTCTGGGTCTCCTTGAATCCGCCCAATTCGTTACCTCCCGTTTTGCTTGCACAACCCACATCTCAGAACTGATTAAAGATCTTTTGTTGGGTTTACAATTGATTGTTGCCCCTGAAGTTCGATCTTAAATTCAACCCACTTCTCCTGACCATTCATCTCCAGTAACCACTACGGATCATAACAACCATTTGACAATTTTTCTTTCTTGGTGAGTTTCAGTAGATAATGGCATCTGAACTCGTTGATTTTGCAACAAGTGATAAACTGGTTGAAGTAGATTGGGCCAAGAACATTGAGATCTGTGAATTAGTTGCTCGGGATCAAAGGTATGCCTTCTTCTCTGATTTTCTTCCATGTTATTTCCTGGGGTTCCACTAACAGGTCCAACAGTCCTTGTTACGTTACCAGTTAAAGTAGCGTGATTCCATTGTTGTAATTCTGATTTACAGGCAGGCTAAGGATGTTGTTAAAGCAATAAAAAAACGCCTGGGGAGCAAGAGTCCTAATTCTCAGTTGTATGCAGTGATGGTAGGTTAATGTGCTCAACTTTGTCTAGGAATCATTTCAGGATGATGTCTGATTCCAACTTCGTTTTGCAACTTATTGGGAGTAACTGTCACTTTTCGATAATAACTTACTATAGCATGATCAAGTCAAGGGTCCCTTTGACTGCTGCTGTACTTCACCCGGCTGTTACACCCCCTTTTTCCTTGTGTAATTTGGCATAGCAGTTGCTGGAGATGTTAATGAACAATATTGGAGAAGCTGTTCATCACCAGGTGATTGATGCTGCCATTTTGCCAATTCTTGTGAAGATAGTGAAGAAAAAGGTCAAATCTTTAGACCCACTTGCAAATATGTTATCTTTGTTTATTTATCATGTAATTCTTCCTCAATGGGGCGTGTTCTTCTTGCCACAGACAGACTTACCCATCAGAGAGAGGATATTTCTTCTTCTAGATGCTACCCAGACGTCCCTCGGTGGTGCTTCTGGAAAGTTTCCTCAGTATTACTCGGCATATTATGAGTTGGTGGTAAGCAGAGAGTTAGAAACTTGGGGCATACAAATAAATTTCATTACACAATAAAATCCTTTTAATTGATTATGATCTCCAGTGGTTGCTGGTTTGGGATCCTCCACCTTCATGCCGTCTTTTGGAAGAGTATTAATTCTATCAGGGCAGTTGGTGCTGGGACTGAGTCATGTTTTACTCCATTTTTTTTTTTGTTTTGTTGGTCTGTTTTGGTAATGCAGAAGATACTCAACATCCTGGTTGTGAAGGGGTGAAATTGTAAGATAATGAAAAATTAAATGTGAAGTGTTCCTCGAGTTTAATTTTATAGGTTTTCATAGCAGTTGGAGTTTCCTATTTGGATTTTGGGAACACCTCATCAGTGATAATTTCATCCAGGGATATAATTTCATTTTGGATCAGAAGTCAGTGAGTTGCATCTGGTAAAAAGTTAGAATATGGTGGTCCAACTCTGCCTTAGTGAAGGGATCCTTCAAACTGTGGATAGTTAGGGCTAGAAATCATTTAGTTAGGGCTAGATATGATTCATCATTTGTGGTTCTTTTCTGCAGTGGGTCATCACAACTTTTATATCCCAAAGCTAAAAAATGCTTTGTTTGTGCATAACATTTTTTCTGCACTCACTGTCACTTCCATCTCATTTAAGGTCGTTACTTTGTTTTTTCTTTTACTTGATTAGTCTAGCTTTTGGAATAATTTTCTCAGTGGACATGTCAAGAACTATGTTCAACTGCCCCTTTCTTTTTGTTTATGCAAGCAAGAGTTGTGCATTTGAGACATCTCATGAATGTAACTCGTTTTTGGTTCTTTCTCCAGAATGCAGGAGTAAAGTTCCCTGACAGATCACGTGAAGTACCATCAAGTCATCCTACTCCCCAATCAAATAACAGGGCTGATCATCCCACTTCACAATTGAATAATGGAGCAAGGCATCCTACTCCACAATCAAATAACAAAACTACACTTAATCAGGAACTTGCTACCTCTCGGCAGAAAGCAGAGCCCCAAGCCCCTCCAGAGTCTAGGTATGGTTGGCCTTTCTGCAATTAACTATGTTTGCATTACAACTGTTTCAGTGATCCTAGAGGAAGCTAGTTTGTGTTTTGGGTTTAGATATTGGATAGTCCTGTATTTCTGGTCCTAATTGCTCATTATTGACTGGTAGCTTAGTATAATTGCAAGTAAATCAATTGACTAGTTTCACTCTCATCTGAGTTTTGGGGATCTGAATATCTGGATATATTGACTTATCTGTGTTTTGTGGTTTAAGTTTCGATGCATCTGGGCAGGTCGTGCACATGAGGCTTCCTTTTTGAAAATTGTTTTTCAGGCATAGGCTTCCCTTAAAAGATGTTTTCTTTTGGTTCTCTTACTCTTCTCTTGAAGTTCATATGCTCTCTTTAATTTTGGTTTAGGAAGCATATATCAAGTGTAAATCTTTTATATTTGGATTGTGAAAGTGAAGGCTACATAGTGGCCTTAATAGTACTATGCTAGGTGCATTCATGCATATAGAGAATTGTCCTTGTGGTATAAAGTTCAGAATGAATAGTGGTGTGACTTGTTTGTCTGTTGGCCAATGCCAATTTCTAAGTTGAATGAATTCATCTGCAGTATTCTTCAGAAGGCTGGTAATGCATTAGAAGTGCTGAGAGAAGTTCTTGATGCTGTTGATTCTCAAAACCCCGAGGTTTGTGCTCTCTGTTTCTCCTACAGACGATTCTATCATCTTCTATTCTTTCAGTTTTGTGATGGACATTGCAAGTAACGTATGTCATATGATTTTTGTCCTACTCGGAAAATCTTTAGGTAGCCTTGTCTCTGTTTGTTTGCTTACTGTTGTTGTTCTTCTAGGGAGCAAAGGATGAGTTCACTCTTGATCTTGTGGAGCAGTGTTCATTCCAAAAGCAGAGAGTAATGCATCTGGTGATGACTTGTCGGTAAGGCTGCTTGATACACTGATATGGCAGATCCTTTTTAGCAACATCTTTAGTTGCTTTCTGCTATAGATATCAGATATGTGTATAGATTAGGGGAACTGGTTAGTCAGTTCTCTTTGGAAAATCATAGATTGTTCCACTTATCTTGTGATTCCAAATGGTTGATTTCTGTGTTTAGAACAACTTGGAACTAGAACTCTGTAGCTTGGACCCACTTTTCACAGTGAAGTTGATTTTGTGAATGCATTTCCCTAAAGGCCCATCTGCGTAATGCCTATGACAATGGGGGGAGAGGCATACGGATTGCAACTTGGTTGCAGATGGCTTTTAATGTATGTGCCAATTTGGGTTTTGACCTCTGAAATTATGGATGGAACTAGAATTGAGGAATGAAGGAAAGGTATGGGAAGGAAACCTAAATAGTGAGTCTCTCGTGTTCCATGCAGCTAAAGTAAACAAGACAATGAAAAAGAAGGGAGATATTAGAAGTAAAAAAGAACAACCTATTTGAAGCCTTGATCTTGGCGGTAGTAATTAAGGGAAAGTTGTAGTTCATAGTTAAAAACTTGGGACTTGAAAGAGTCTCCGGGAACTAAATTGAAACCTCTGGAGTTTCCATTTTGTTGATAGGAGATTGGAGTTGGAAAGTGGACACTGTTGTTTTTTGCTCAACCCTTCCATTACAAGCGAAGTTCAATCTTGCCTCTGAGTAATTGCCTTTGGAATCTAACTCCGTGTGTGTGCCTTCATATGTGTATGTGCTTGCTGTCCAGGGATGAGAAAGTGGTTTCTAGAGCAATTGCATTGAACGAAGAGCTCCAAAGAGTTCTGACTAGACACGACGATCTTATTGCTGGCAGACTTGTGAATTCGAATAACTCTAGGGTTTCAGATATACCTACTTCAACTGCAAACCGTGTTGATCATGAGGTAGATGAGGAAGAAGAGGAAGTTGAGCAACTCTTCCTAAGGTATGTATGTCTATACAGCGATTGTTTAGGACCAAAGACTGATACAGTTCAAACTTGTTAAGTATTCTTGCTCGTATATCATTGTTTTTGGATCAGGAAGTGTTGGGTCTTTCATTTTCGCAGAAAACATTATTGTGTTTGCTAATAACCAACTAGGCAACAATATCATCAGTATCATAACATCCTAACGCTGGATTCTGTACCCCATACTAGTAGCATTCTTTATATTCAGTCATTCCACTTGTGAAGTGCATCTTCTAGCTTTCTCTTGCTTAGTTGCCTTTTTCTCACCCAAATTATGATAGGTTACGTAAAGGTAAAGCTTGTGCAAGGCCCGAGGATGAGGTGAACACAAAGGAGCAACACCATTTGGGATTGTTTGCTTCTTCCCTTCCACCCAGTGAAATGCTGAACCGGCCCCTTATACGGCCAGTTCAGTCAGGTCAAGCACAGGATGAGGGTGGCAGAGAGGCTGGTCCAGTTTCTATCCCACCCCCGCCCGCTAAGCATATGGAGAGGGAACGGTTCTTCAAGGAAAATAAAGCCGATGGCTCTGCGGTGTCTGGCCATATGAGAGGTCTGTCATTACACAGTCGCAATGGCAGCAGTTCTCGTAGTGGAAGCATAGATTTTACTGAGTAACTGTGGTATATCGTGAAATGAAGGAAACGACTCTTTAGTTCTTTCTTGGTTCTGGGTTTTTTTTTGTCATAGTTATTGGTTCTGGGTTTTGCTGCTATGTTCTTCGTTGACTGGATAGGGTGAGGATTTGGACGGTGTGATGGAAGTGGGGTGTTGCTTTATATATTTTGTATTTTTGTGATGGCATGGTTGTTATTATTATTTTTTTTTTGGTAAGACATGGTTGTTATTTAATTAGAGGGTTTTTAGCTTTATTTATAGCAGGAGGAGTACTTTCTACAAATAAAGGAGGTAAAATGCATCCGACATCACTTAAAGTATTAAACTATGATGATTTGGGGAGCCATACTATTTAAGTGAAGATTGTGTATTGGATATACGATGGCCATTTCGACCTGATCTGTTTTATCCGATCTGTTTGGAATGTTGTGTGATTAGTTGGACCCGTCTCGTAGGCGTGGCGGACATGAGTACTCCCATCGATCCGACCTGTTCTGACCCGTCCCATTCTCGATCTGTTCTCTTCTAAATTACATGTAATTTTAATCAAATTATTTAGAAATTTTCTTTTATTACATCATAATTTAGCTATAAAAATAACGAATATTTCTAATGATTTTTATATAAATTGCATACTCATTGGGTCGATCTGCCCCGAACTGCGACCCATGATAAATTATCCGACCTGCACCCAACCTGCCACGGGGTGGGTCTGGGTACCAAGAAACCTGGCCCGGACCTGCCCCATTGCCATTCCTAGGGGTGGCTATACGGTCCGGTCCGGTTAAATTGACCCAAATTGATCCGGTCCCAGTCCTGTCTTTTCGGGAATATAAGGACCAAAGATTGGATTGGATACAGTCCGGTCTTGATCCGGTCCGGTCCCAATTTTATCTTGATTTTAGGTGTTGGGGGTCTCTTATCCGGTCTTTATCCGATTTTTTTACCTCAAATCTAAGCCCGAATATGAGATTGCATTGTTTGCTATCCGGTCCCGGTCCGGGTTATACGGTCCGGTTTCGGGTAAAACCAAACAGTCCGGGACCAAATAGCCAGCCCTAGCCATTCCTAATTGGATATCACTTAAGGGTCAGTGGATGTGGATGATGGATTTGGTAGTCAAATTCATTCCATTATGTATTTAAGGAAAATTCATTATTTGCTTGCATTTCTTTTATGGATTAAATTCATGGGGTCTACAGATTTGGATTATGTAAATCCACATTATTGATAGGGATTTGTAACATGTCATAATTTCATGATGAGATTTTATTCATGTACCTTCATAACTTTTAAAATTCCAAGGTTGCTCTTACATTTATACTATTGTACATGATAAATAATCATTAATTAACAACAAAAAATAAAATAAATATTCAATTAATGTGCAAACATGAGTTAGATTTTTTATACCATTTCTTGTGTTACAGTTTCATTTGACATTTTCATGAAATGTGTAATTCTTTTGTTTCCCGCTTCGAATTTATGTTGTTATATATTACTTTTGAAAAGGAGGACAAAGAATCAGTAATTGATATATGTTACGTTAAAAGTTAAATTAATTTTCCGGTTTATTATTATTGTACTTGTGGCAACATTATGCTTATTAGTATGTATTGTCCTTGTTTTGTGTACATATCATAAACATGACAAACAAATAGAAAATGATAGCATGGTAATTTTGAACTTAGAGTTCTAAATCCCAAATTCTTAAATTCATGATAAAACATCTCAACAAACAAAGGGTTGTTATAAATCCATAATGTCTCAAATTCTTGATAAAAGTAGTTGGCCAGTTTACTTTCATTTCTGTAACAATTTTTCGTTTCCGAAAACAGCAGGAAGTTGCCACTTTCTGTTTTCATAGTTGGAAACAAATAGAAACAGAATTAAAAATAAACAAGTTTTCTCGTTTCGGTTGCCAAATTTATGACATGAAAACTGAAAACAGGAAACGAAAATGGAAGTGAACATGCAAAACTTTTTAAATTATAAAACCCTCATATTCAAATTCATGAAGCAAACGACCCTAAAGTGTCTTGGAAAGTGCATCCGTCTGAACTGGGGAAGCCATACTTTTTCCCCAGTTATTAGCATTTCATTAAGCACTCCCAATTAAATCAATTGGGCATAAAAAATACAAGGAAATCGTCCACTGTTGATACATTCAACTACTCAAAGTAACCAACTAAATGATGGGAGGCTCTACACTGCATTTCTGAAAGCTAGATTACCCAATACAAATAGAAGAAATTCATCCTTAAAACTGCAGAGAAGCAAGACCCAATCTCTATGCAATCCGCCAAAAAACCGGTTGCAGTGTTCTTTCCAAGGAGACCTGTAGCGCTCCTCCTTTCTTCACCTCCCTCTCCACATTGCGCATCATATCATCCCACGAGGAAGGCCACACCTGTAAACTTCTGCCAAAAATAGCCATATAGAACCTTTCTGCATAAGCACGTTGACAAATAGCACATGCCACAAACTGAGTCGTGGTCTTTTTTCACGCAATGAGTTCCAAATCAACTGAATAGAGAACTTTGTCATGATCCTTCCTTCCCAAGTAACTTGCCCCTGATTGTTAACTTCTAATATGTTTTGTAGCCAGCTCCTAATCTTCAGAAGGCTTCGCCAAACCCAGGACCCTACTACTGTATTTGGAATCGTCCAAACAAAACGTCCCTTCAGCCTATATCTGTTAACTAGAGGTGGCAATTCTCAATCCAATCCACCAATCCAATCCATCAATCAATTAAAAATATCCACCAAATCCAATCCATTTGATCCAAATCCAATTGGATTGGTGGATTCATGGATCAATCCACGGATCCAAATGGCAAATTATAGTTTGGTACCTATTATTTTTATATTTTACATTTTGGTACCTAAAATTTAATTTTTATACGAAAAATATCATTGGAAAATTATGATTTGGTACCTAAAATTTTCATTATGACATTTTAGTACCTAAACTTTTCACATTTTACATATTGGTACAATGTTGAGGATGTCATTTGGATTCATGGATAATACATCAATCATCTTGATCCAATCCATGAATCCACCAATCCATTGGATCCAATCCATTTGATCCATGGATCCACCAATCCATGGATCCAATCCATTTGCCACCTCTATTGTTAATCCATGCCACCCAAAAACTTCCACTCTGCATTAGAATGAGCCAAAGTAGTCTGGCAGCACTTACAACATTCCATACATTGAGATCCTTGAGACCACGGCCCCCCTCCTTAACCGTTGCAATATGTTCCCAGGCTACCTTTGCTTTGCCAGAGCCCTCCACAAACCACAGAAAATCAGAGCATATCTTCTAGATCTGATCAATAACAGACTTAGGCAATATAAAGAGTTGCATCCAATACGATATCAAAGAGTATAGAACTGAAGATATTAGTTGGAGTCTTCCCGCGTAGGAAAGCTTAGTTGCCCGCCAAGAGTGTATTCTAGTTGTCAACTTGTCAACAAGAACATTGCAATCCCTACTAGAAAGCTGACCATCAATCAAAGGCAATCTAAGATAACGAACATGCAAATTTCCTTCTTTAAAACCAGTCACATTAACTGCATTTCCTTGAATGCAATAGCTTGACCCCCAAAAAAGACTTCACATTTATTAGGGTTGCACTTTAATTCAGAGAGAATGAAACTGTTCAAGCAGATTTCTTACCTTTAGTAACGCTGCAGCAGATCCTTCAGTGAATATAAGAAGATCATCAGCAAAGCATAGGTGCATAAGCCCTATTGCTTTGCATTGTGGATGGTAAGGAATACTGCTAGACTATGCAGGTTGATCAAGTAAGCCAGAAAGAGACTCCAGAGCAATAATGAACAAATAGGGAGACAATGGGTCTCCTTGCCTCACACCCTTCTTAGCAGTAAAGAATCCAAATAACGATCCAAATAAACTGATACTAAAGGAAGCAGTTTGGAGACACACTAGAATCCATTCCTTAAACAAACCAGGAAATCCCATTTCGTCAATTTCCAACATAAGATAGTCCCAATCAACTGAATCAAAAGCCTCATGTATATCTATCTTAACTGCACATCTTGAAGCAATGCATTTCTAATTATAGTTCTGAACGATTTCCTGTGCCATCAAGATATTATCTATTATGATGCGCCCTTTCACAAACACTAATTGGTTCTGAGTAATGATCCGAGGCAATACACTCTGAATCCTATTTGCCAGAATCTTCAAGATTATCTTATAAAGTATATTGATGCAAGCGATTGGTCTGAAAGAGGAGAAAGAATCAGCATTTGGTACCTTTGGAGCAAGCATGAGAGCAATGCAATCAAAATCGTGCTTTAAAATTTAAAAAATTACGATTTTATTCTTTTAGGTCACCAAAACGCTTTTGTTTCCATATATAAACTTAAGTGTATAAAATCGGACTAAATTGCTCTTAAAAGCTTACGCTTTTACGCTTTGATTCTACGCTTTACGATGTTACCCCTTTTTTGCTTTTAGATAGAATCGCGCTTTTGACTGCATTGCGTGAGAGAAGCAACATTTATTCCCCTAGGCATCATTTTTGTTCTGAAAAACTCCTTTACACCAGCACAAACATCAGGCAAGTTACCTCCCAGCTTTTCTGAAAGAATCCAGCAGACCAGCCATCAATACTAGGGGCTTTTGCACGATCCATACCAAATAATGCCTCCCTGATTTCCTGATTAAATATCTCACAACAAAGCAATGCCTTCCCCTCATCATCGATCCTCCCCTTATGCATTCCTTAATAACCTGCCTACAAGGATGAACGTCACCATCTGTAACCCCATAAAACAATTGATAGAAAGAAACAATCTCTTTGGCAATCCTTTCCTCATCAGTTACCAGCTCCCCTGACTTCAAAATAATCTTTCTAATTTGTTTTCTAGTCGTTCGAAGCTTAATGGAATTGTGGAAGAAAGGTGTGATAGTATCCCCCAATGTTAACCACTGAATCCTAGACTTCTGTCGATAAAAAGTT